ATAAAGAGATTTCATCATATATTTTTTATCTTTAATCTTATTGTTTAATTTACACAATGGTTTATATAATTTATATATTCTATTTTTTCTAATATCGTTAATATAATCATTACTAAATTCTTCACAACTTGTATATGAAGTTTATAATATTTAACAATAATGTTATTTATAAAATAAATGATAATTCATATTTTAATGAATGTGTTTACAATCAAAATGAATAATTAATGTCTATTAATAATTGATAAATCATTGTATGACTATCAACAACTGAATGATTAATTAGGTTATCTTGGAAAATATGTACTTTTAAATAAACAATTCAATCATTATAATGATTGATAAAAATTGATAAATTTGTTATAAATAATCCAATATTTAAATAAAAATATTCATTTATAAATGATATTGATAAGTATAAGTATTTGACATTCAGTAGTAATTATATTCTTCATGATACTTCAGAATTAAAAAGACGTGTGTTACATAAATGGTTAATGAAATGATAATGAAAGTATTAAATATAATTATGATTATTCTATGTATGAATAAATATATCAAATAAAAATAAACTTGTTTATATTATTTTAGCACTTATAATTTATTATCAAATTATAGATAATTATTGTGTTTCTTTTGTATTATTGTTTTTTTTTGTTAATGAATTTCTCTAAAAAAGAATAGTTATTTGATTAATGTTTCATAATTTATTGTTTTATAACATATTATCTGAAATTCAAATTCTGTTTAGAGTATTGTCATTTTGGTCAAACATCATTTACCACTTTTTATGTTATTCTTTCTTTTATTCTTGTTTTATTTAGTGATAATGTATCATTATTTTATTCATTTCTTATTATTTTATCGTTATTATGATAGATTCAAAAAGATATGTTGATAGAATAAATTATTTCATAAACATTCATGAATTTATCAAAATAGAAAGACAAAATAACAGAAAAGATGAATAGAAGTTGATTGTTCGTTGTTGTATTATAATTACATAGCAAATATAAATAATTGCCATAGATATATTAAATAATGTGTATATTTGTTTATCTATTCACGATACATTTATTGTATTTCATTCTATCAACATTTCTTAATTTCTCTTTTCTATGTTTTGTTGTTTCTTTTCAATTTAAAATATTTGAGAATTAATTGATTTGATACGTTCTGTTCAATCATTTCAATCATATTTTTATCTTCTCATTATCTTCTATATAATCATCATTTTATGTTTGTACAACACGTTTCATTCGTTGATAATGTGAAATTAAGAATATCAATATGAAACAATGAATAAGCACGGTTGATTATCAATGTTTGACAAGATAAATAATTCTACATTTTATTTTCAGAATAAACCAAATCAAACTATCAATCAGAGTTATAAGGAAATGACGAAATGCAGAAAATGGAAGATGAAATTCATGAAAGATGAAAAGATACGAATCGAAAGAGAAGAAAAGAAGCAAATGAATGATGGTGAATGACAACAATTAAATAAATTGAAACAAATTATAACTTAATTGGAAATTAATGAGTAAAGATATTCTTCAACATTCAAATAATTCAAATAAGTGATGAAATAAAGAGCGAAATTGTTGAAAAGATATGAAGAAAGAATATTTAATTCATGTTGAACTGCATATTCTTTTGAAATGAATGAAGAACCATTCAAAAAATAAAAAGAAATTGTATCATTGAATGAGAGTTGTTATATTATACTTCTAGTTTTGTTTTATAATCATAATTAAACAGTTAGTATTATTCATTTCTACATTTTACTTTGTTTATCTTTTCTATATTTGATGCAAGTGTTGTTGTTTGGTTATTGACACATTATTATGTAATATAAAACTATCATTTAATTATTAATGTTGAGAGATAATGAAATGAAACTGATACAATACTTGTGAATATGTTATAATTCATGTTTTTCTATTGCTCATAGTATTTGAATTTCAATAAACAAGAAGAGAAACAAACGAATGAAGAAATTAATATTTATCCACATTCTTATTCAATTTGTACAAACAAATCACAATGGATGTGTTTTGAAGAAACAATGTGATAATGTTGATTATAAAGAAAATACAATAAAACAAAATCAACTATTAACAACATTCATTTGAATATGAAAGAATATCAAAATCACATTGTGGAAATGAATATCCAAATCGTTTCACACCAAAACGAATCATAGTAATTGAAATGATTCAATCTTGAATGAATGAAATAAAAACAATACAAAACATAAAGACATTTTAATTAACTCTCAAATAATATGTTGAATAATATAAATTGACTTATTTCTTCATTAATTTCATTTATTTGAAAGACAACACCCAATGCGTTTGCTTACTTAATAAACAATAAGAAGAAGTTTAGGTTTTATTCAAAATAAATGAGAACGAAAGATTTTTATTCTGTTTAAAAGGATTATGTTCATTAAATAATTTCAATTTGTTTGAGAACAAATCACATACTCAAGAAAAAACACTTTTACAGACTAATGACTAAGACATGGAATAAGAGTGTGATAAAAACACATTATCTACACAACCACCAGACATTAAGGAAAATCACAAAGATTTTCATGAAAGTGTGTCACTCAAAGTAAAACTCCTATAAGAAGAAATGAGCATAAAGGGGGAATCAAAGTAATGAGAAGAAGTTTTTTGTCAAGGATGAAGGAAAAGGAATGAATAGTCTGACGAAAAAAACAAAAAAGGGTTTTTAAGAAAATAAAGAAAAACGAAAAATAGACATTCAGGAAAGATGAGTAGTGAAACCCTTGGAGTTGTTGATAAAATCAATAATAAATATGTTGAAATTACAGAAGACAATCATATTAAGTTTGTGAGAATAGAGCAAATTCAAAAAGAAAAAAGAAATAACAAATAGGACATATTTCATTGATAGCAAAGAAGTTATTAGTGACTGTTTTGACAAAGAGCATTTAAGAAAGATCAGTGCAGTTACTGTTACGAATATTAAAAAAAGTAATGGAAGTAATGGAAATAAAATGATTGTTGCAGTTGGGAATGAAGATGGAATAGTTAGTATTTGGGATGTTAATAGTGAAAAAATTGAAGGAGAATACAAAGTAATGAATAAAGTTACATGTCTTAAATTTTATAAAGAAGAACTTATTATTGGAACGAATGGAGATAGTATCACAATCATTAATATTAATAATCAAGAGAAAAGAACAATTAAAGGAAATAAAAGAGGAGTTAATTGTATTGAAGTAGTAGGGAATAGATTAATTGTAGGAAGTAGTGATGTTAAAGTATATGATATGGAAGAATTAAAAAAAGTAGTTAAACAAAGCAATCATTTAGATATGACTAAAGGAATTGTTGGAATCAATAATACAGAATATATAACATATGGAAATGAAAAGAACATTTATTTATGTTCAAATGAGACGAGTATTCCAATTCAAAGTTTTACAATAACAGGAAATCCAAATAAAGTAGAGGCGATGTATGTCAATGATAATAATATATTAATTGCAGGATTAATAAATAAAGGAAGTATTGATATAATATTATTTAAAAGAAATTGTAGAAAAGCAAAACCAATTGGAACGAGTTGTAGAATTGAAATTAATAGAGAAATCGATGATTTAGTTATTTATAGTGATAGAATAATGATTATTCAAAGGATGGAAGAATTAAGAGTTGAATATATCAAAATAATGGAAGAAGGGAAACTTGTTAAAGACAGTGAAATCAAAGAAATAAGTAAAAAGATTGAAGAAGGAATGGTAGGAAAGAAAAATAAAGAAAAAAATAAAGAAATGATAAAAGAGTCTAAAGAAATGGAAGTTATTGGAGTGGATGAACAAAAAGAAGAAATTGAAACTACATTTGAACGGAAAATGAAAGTCATGGAACAACTTGGAACTAAAGAGCCAGAGAATGTAACATTAAGTAAAGAAAGTATTGTTATGACATTAATTAGAGGACTTGAAAGTAATAATAAAATTTTGATTGAAAGATGTTTGTCTATAGATGAAGAAAATGTAATTAAAAAAACTATTAATAATTTACCAAGTAAATATATTGTTGAATTATTAAATATTGTGTGTGATATATTTAATAATAAACCAACAAAAGCATTTACAATGACATTATGGTTAAAAGCAATATTTGAACAACATTTAGCATATTTAATGAGTATTAAAGATGTTTCAAAAAGTATTGGAAAATTGTATGTCATTGTTGAAAGTAGAACACTTTCATACAAACATTTATTGAGGCTCTATGGAAGAATGAATTTACTTTTGTCTCAAATTGATAAAAAACAACAGTTGAAACAAGACCAAAGAGGTGGTACATATAATGAGTCATGTGAAGAAGAAGAAAAGAAAGAAAATCTTGAAGACTTTGAAAATTCAATTGATATGGATGATAATTTATATAACTCAACGTCAGGGAATGAAGAAGGGAATGAAATGAGTGAAGAAGAAATTGAAAACGATGATTTGTCTCTCTAAAATGAATGGTTTTTAAGTTTAAATTACTTTTAGTTTTAATTAAGATAGTTTAAATGAAGAGATTAAAGAGAAGAAGAAATGAAGAAATAAAAATAAGAAAGACATATTTATTTCAGAGAAAAGGGAAAAAAGAAAAATAACTACGAAGAGGGATTGAAAATAAAAGAATTAGATAAGAAATAGTTTAAGAATAATAAAAGGGAGATATAAGTATGAGAACTTTAAAAAAAAACGAATTGAAGAATACATGGGAGGAAAACCATCAAAACAAGAAGAACAAAAGAAAGAATATACAGGACAACCAGAAGGAACCCCTTATTATGACATTCAAGGATGTGAATTAGCTAAAATGGTTAGTACTAATAATAAAGAAATTTATGACAAATATGGAGGAGTTATAGGAATTAGTAAAATTCTTGAAGTTGACCTAGACAAAGGAATTTGTGATGAATCATACAGTAAAAGACAAGAACAATTTGGGAAGAATAGAACACCAGACGCAGTTATTGTCCCATTTTGGAAAATTTGGTTTGAAGCACTTCAAGATAAAACACTTATTATTCTTATTATTGCAGCTATTGTGTCATTAATATTAGCATTTGCTGTACCTAACTCAGTTGATAAATGTTTAGCTAAAGAAAATGAAGAAGATAAAGAACTTAATACGGATTGGATAGAAGGAGTAGCTATTTTAATTGCAGTTCTTGCGGTTTCTCTTGGAGGGTCAGCATCTGATTATTCTAAACAAAAGAAGTTTTTAGCTCTTTCACAAGAAGAGAAGGATGTTGGAATTAAAGTTATTAGAAATGGAGAAAATCAAAAAACATCTATATTTAATTTAAGTGTTGGGGATATAGTTAATTTAGATGTTGGAGATATTATTCCAGCTGATGGGATTTATATTCATGGGAATGATCTTAGAGTTGACCAAGCAAGTATGACAGGAGAATCAGTTGCAGTTAGAAAAACGTCAGAAAACTTTAGTATGATGTCAGGAACAAAAGTTATGGATGGGAATGGAAAAATGCTTGTTGTTGCAGTTGGACCAAATTCATTGTGGGGAAAAACAATGGAAGCAGTTAATCAAAACAAAAGTGCACCAACACCATTACAAGAAAATTTAGATGAACTTGCAGTTAAAATAGGATATTTAGGAATGGGATGTGGAGCATTAGTATTTATTGTTTTAACCATTTATTATATAGTGTCACAATTTACACATAAAGATGTATTAAAAGCAGATGAAGAGAAAGGAATTATTGCAGGATGTCTTGAGTGTAATGTTACTAGAGAAGATGTAATGTGGAATGAATATTGTGAAAAATATTCATTTGACTGGAGTTCATTAACAGGACTTATTGACTATTTCATTATTGGAGTTACAATTATTGTGGTTGCCGTTCCAGAAGGACTTCCACTTGCAGTTACTATTTCATTAGCATATTCAATGAAACAAATGTTTAAAGATAATAATTTAGTAAGACATTTAAAGGCATGTGAAACAATGTCAAATTGTACTAATATTTGTTCAGATAAAACAGGTACATTAACAGAAAATCGAATGACAGTTGTAAATGGATGGTTTGGAGGAATTAAAATGGAAACAAGAGATCAAAAAGTTTCAATTGCTAAAGAATATGAAGAACTTATTAATATGAATATTTCAATAAATAGTTCACCATCCACAACATTAATTTCAGAAAATGGAGAAATTAATGTTATTGGAAATAAAACTGAAGGAGCATTATTAATGTATGTAAAAGAAAGAGGAGTGGATTATTTAGAAATTAGAAAAAGAAATGAAAATAATATTTATCAAATGTTTGCATTTTCAAGTGCTAAAAAGCGAATGAACACACTTGTTTGGATAGACAAACCAAACACTATTAGAATGTTTACAAAAGGAGCACCTGAAATGATTTTAGAAAAATGTCAATATTATATGAATGGACAAGGAGAAATTAAAGAAATAACAGAGGAAGTTAGACAAGAACTTGAAGAATGTCAAGTAGAATGGGCATCTAAAGGATATAGAACATTATCATTATCATATAAAGATATGACACCAGCTAATCGAAATAATTTAGAGGAAAAGTATGAAGTTGCTAATGAAGAAGGATCTATATTATTAAGTTTATTTGGAATTGAAGATCCAGTCCGAAGAGAAGTTCCAGGAGCTGTTGCTACATGTCAAAGAGCAGGAATTATTGTTAGAATGGTAACAGGAGATAATATAGCAACAGCAAGATCAATTGCAAAACAATGTAATATTATTTCAAGAGAAAATGATATTGCAATAGAAGGACCTAAATTTGCAGAATTAACTGATGAAGAAATTATTGAGAAATTAGAAAATCTTAGAGTTATTGCAAGATGTTCACCACAAGATAAAGAAAGACTTGTTAAATTACTTATTAGTCAAGGAGAAGTTGTTGCAGTTACAGGAGATGGAACGAATGATGTCCCAGCACTTAAAGCAGCTGATGTAGGACTTGCTATGGGAATTAGAGGAACTGATGTAGCTAAACAAGCATCAGACATTGTTATTTTAGATGATAATTTCCAATCAATTGTTAATTCAGTAAAATGGGGAAGATGTGTTTATGATAATATTAGAAAATTCCTTCAATTCCAATTAACTGTTAATATTTCAGCACTTGCACTTTGTGTTATTGGGTCTATATTTATTGGAGAATCACCATTAAATGCACTTCAAATGTTATGGGTTAATTTAATTATGGATACTATGGCAGCTTTAGCACTTGGAACTGAAAAACCAACCGATTCATTATTAGATAGAAAACCATTTGGTAGATTTGATTCACTTATTTCAAATATTATGATAAGAAATATTATTGTTCAAACTGTATATCAACTAGGAATTATGTTACCAATTGTTTTTGCAGGAAAATATATTCCATTCCTTAATTCACCATGTGGATTTGTTAAAACTGTTGGACATTCTGGAGGAGAAGATTTTAGTAAATATTGTGCAGGGGATAATATTGGGTTTAAGAGTATTAATGATGTTAAAAATGATACTATTGAACTTCAAACATTAGTATTTAATATTTTTGTTTTCTGTCAAGTCTTTAATGAATTTAATTCAAGAAAAGTAAATGGTGAACATAATGTCTTTTCTAATCTATTTACAAACTTTATTTTCTTAACAATTATTGGTGTTACTATTATTATTCAAACAATTATTGTTCAATTCCTTGGTATTTTATTTGATGGTGTTCCATTTATTCCATCACAAGGTCAGTATGGTCTTTCATGGCAAGGTTGGGTATTATCTCTTCTTCTTTCTTGTATGACTTTAGTTATTGGTCAAATTTCGTTCTTTATTCCTGTACCTACATCTAAACCAAAGAAATTTAAGAATCAACCATCACTCCTTACAAAAATCCTTTGTTGTGGATTTTGTAATAAGAAAGATGTTAAAAGTTCATCATCTGAAAGTTCTGATGATGATGATAACTTAGAAAAGAAATCTCTTCTTAGTAATTAAATTTCATTTACTCTTTATTTTATTATTTTTTATCTTTCTTTTTTTATATTCTTTCCTTCATTTCAACCTCTCTCTTTGTTTCTTTCTCATTATTCTTTCTTTAAATTCATTATCTCATATGTTATGTATTTCTTTTATTATTTGTTCATTGGAAAATAGTATAATTGATTATTTCAACTATGTAACAACCAGTCTTATCAATTATTGAGTGAAATTCATTCAATAAATCAATTAACAACATTAAGAATGAAACTATTCATCTTTATCATCACCTTTGGAATTATTTCGTTTTCATTTGTTTTTGTGTTTACCTTTTCTTTTCTTCATGGAGAAGTTAACAACATTCTTTTAGGAATATTTCATATCATAACATGGAATGAAAGATTCTAATAACCCACAACTTTATGACTAATTTCATAAAGAAGTAATGGTATAAAGAGAATTATACTTGACATTTATATTTATTATTAAGTTGTTTTATTAAGTCATATAGTCTGGGTGATTTCTATTTAGTAAATACTTCCGAGAATTGAAACTATTATCGTCTCAAATATCTCATTCATATTTTATGTATCTTTCTTTTTAATATCGAAGTAGTAACTGAAACAAAAAGTAAAACCAAAAGAGAATTATAAAGAATGTTAGAGTATTATTTTATTTCTTGATTAACTCTGTGTAGTTCTGTTTTAAATACACAACTCCATGTCTTTATTATCTATTACATTTCGTATCATAATGAAAGAGTCATGAATGTTGAGTCAAATGTTAAATTGCATTTACATATGTTTTTAGATGTAACACTATTTTATATTACCCAGACTGGTTATGACAAAGAATTATCTAGTTATTAAAAAAGAAAGACAATCACATAAACATTCACTAACCCAAATACTTCAAGAATATAATTAAAACAATAAACTTTAATTTGATATTATTGATATCTAACGTCGTTTTGAATAAAACAAAAGACATTGCAAAATAAATAATCAAAGTTATGGTATTTTCATTCATAACCAAACTTATTTATGGAAACTATAATATTTTTTAAGTAAAAAGTATACTTAATTAATTGGTATTGATTCAGCCTTAGTTTAGATGATTAGATAAAATTAATAATAACTTTTTCCAATAGTAACATTGAGTGATAAACAAATGAATTATATTTAATAACTTCATAGAAATTGAATAATCGTCAATTATAATAAGAAGAGTATTGTCTATTAAAACGTCATAATACCTTTCTTGTTATTATAAAATTTAAATCTATGAAGAAGAAAATGATTAATAATTTTATTTACTCAATAAATGAATTATACTCTTTCATTGATGCTTAATACCTTTAAAAGTGAATAACAAATTTTAATGTGAATTATTATTATTTTTAAGTATTATTTTGTTTTTCTAACCTTTTTAAAAAAGAGAGATTTATTGAAATTCAATTGAAATTCAATGTGTCATTTCCAATAATTCAATATAAAATGCAGTATTTTTATTGATAAATTCACCTTTTTGAAAAATTCCAGAAAGTTTCTTTGATTTTTTACTCTCCAAAAGAAGAATAGAATTGAATAGAATAATTATTATTTTTATTAATTTTCTCTTTACAAAAGTTGGTGCCACGTTAAAGTATTTTAAAACAAATCTTATAGAAAATTATTAAGAAATAGATGAAAGGAGATGTAAGAAAGTAAATCACAAGAAGAAATTCTCATTTTAGCATTAGAACCTTCTACCCACGTAAGTCTGTATTATATAAACTCGGACTTATTAAAACATATTCATTTAAAGTTATTAAATATGTCTTCTTATGATATAGTCATTATTGGAGCTGGTTGCACTGGTGCTTGTTGTGCAATGGAATTGTCTAAATACAAGAACCTTAAGATTGCCTTGTTAGAAAAGGCTAGAGATGTTTCTACTGGAGCTACTTCTGCTAATTCTGGTATTGTTCATTGTGGTATTGATACTACATTAGAAACATTGAAAGGAAGACTTGTAGTAAGAGGAAATACTCTTATCCATGAACTTCAACCAAAACTTAACTTTGGTCTTACTACTTGTGGAGAGTTGATGGTTGCTAAAACTGATGAAGAAATACCCAATTTAAATAAATATATGGAAATTGCTAAAACTAAAAATGTTCCAGTTGAGTTATGGGATTATGAAAAAATTCATAAAGAAGAACCAAATCTCAGTGAAAATATCAAGAAAGCTATTTATTGTCCAACTACTTCTGTTCTTGATCCTTATGAATTTACTATTGCTACTTGTCTTACTGCTAAGGCTAATGGTGTTCATATCTATACATCTACTACTGTTAATGGAATTAAGAAGATTGATAATGGATATGAAGTTGTTTGTGAAAATGGAAAGAAGTTTATTGCTAAAGTTTTATTAAATTGTGCTGGTGTTTTTGCTTCACAAGTCTCAGAAATGTTATATCCAGCTGATTTCCATATTACAGCAAGAAAAGGAGAAGAATATTTGTTAGATAGAAAGTTACAAGGAATGGTTAAACATGTTATTTTCCCATGTCCAACAGGAGTAACAAAAGGTACTCTTATTATTCCAACAGTTGATGGTACTATCATGGTTGGACCAACTGCTGATAATCAAGAGTCTTACACTGATGCAAC